TGCATGAGTCTTGGTGGGTGTTCGGCGAAAACACCCTCAACCCTGGAGAAATCCCAGCTTCCCCGGAAAATCCCCACCCTTGTTTGTATCTCTCAGGGGCCTGCGGCTGGGAATCTTTGAGGAAAGCAGTGATTTATAACAGGCTTTGGACTGGCCAACTCTCTTCCCAGCCAGTCTGCTCACCCTTCACATCCTGGTGCTCACCACACGCTTCTTTCTCCCAGCACAGAAGGGAACAGGCCAAAAAGGGACTAACTTCCGTCACTTTTCTCAGCGTGTTCCTGGAAGTTGAGCTGTTCTGGTGGGGAGAACAGTGAAGCAGCCGCATCCCTGGACTGGCCTAGCACCCTGCCAAGGGCAGAGCAGACCCAGCCTGAAATCGGTGGCTGGGAAAAGGGTGTAGAGCTAGCTGAATTGCTTTCCTGCATTACAAATACGGCCCACGTTCATTGTGAAACCTGTGATTTCCGGCCCCATTGTTCAGCCCTGTGCTGACCATATTCATTCCCCAGAAGGGCCGCCAGTCTCGGCGCCTGGTTTTCATGTATTTTTGAGATAGGCTTTTTTTTGCTGTGATTTCACCATACGGTCTTCCCCGCTCTTTGCATGATGGGGGAAGAAGGCAAATCCATTCATTACGCACATTCGTGTCTTGCCCACAAGCAGGTGGCTGGGAAAGTTTTGCTAGTAAAACTCCTGCCCAGAAAACCCCCACACTTCAGCCCGAGCATGGAGAAGAGGGGGAAGAACTGATTTTCATAGCACTGTATTTTTAAAAAGAGAAAACTTTCAGCTGCAAATCATGCCAGAGAGTTTCGAGCCACAGTTAAGTGATTATAGCTTAAGGAGTTCCCCCAGTAAAAGAAAGAATTTGATGAACTGGAGCATCTTTAGCAGATGGCCACCGGCTGGGCTCTTTACGGCAGGAGGACAAGACAGCGGTTTTAAACCAAAATAATGAGGAGTCTCACTTGACATAAAGAAAAAATATTCCCCATGAGGACGGAGCGGCATTGGAAGAGGGGCTCCAAAGGGGTGTGCAGCCTCCAGCCTTGGAGGGCTTCAAGACCCACTTGCACTAAGCCTTGAGCAACCTGGTCTGAGTTTGGTGTTCAAAACGTTCAGTCTCAGCAGGATGCGGGCCTAGGGCCCTCGCACAGCCCCTGCCAACCTGAACGAGTCCTTTCGCTCAGTGTCTCCTCTCTCTGTCTTTGCGGCCCAGCTGAAACCGGTAGGAAGGGATGACAAAGTGCCAGAGGGCGGTGGGGTCGGCTGCTGCTGCCTTTCAGGGATGGGCCAGCCTCATGCCGCTGCTCCGGGCGGCCTTTGGAGAATTTGTGGCATGCTGAGCCCTTGCCAAGAAGTGACGGAGGTGATAACCTACAGCCCCGCACTCAGCTCCGCGGGTGCCAGGAGTGACGCCGCTGCTCTGGATTTTGGGGAGGAGACTGAAGAGCTCCCCTTGGCTAAAGAAACGTGGCCGCGTGCCTTTCTACAAGGGCTTTCCAGCTCCTTTGAACCAGGAGCTTTCCTTTTACTGCCTCCAGCAGGATAGCTGGAGCCCAGAGCCGAACGTCTCCTAAAACTCAACCCCGCGAAGGGCCAAAACTGCCCACCCCCAGCCCTGCTTGCAGCCCCCGGGGGACCCTGCACAGCCGGCGAGAGCCAGCAGCAACGACAAGCTGCTCAGCTGGACGG